CTCTTCAGGGTTATGAGAAGAAGCCATAAACCAACAAATCGCCATTTAGATAGGAAACAGATTCAGCTAGGAGCTGTTTACTTGGAAGGGTCTATTTGTTGTTCCATCCCCTGAAGAACTCTACAGCTGCCATATAATGGTGGAGTGAGAACAATTTTTCAGTATCTCCTCGTTCTGCAGCTTCGCAACACTGAACAAGAAGGGTAAATATGTTAAAGGTAAATGCAGAGATACCACAGACATGTTATTAAATAAGACTCCTGTATTCATGGTCAAGGCATATAAATATACTATTGTTTTCACATTTTTTGTAGGTACATAAGCTTATTACTCTGTTTTTTCTTTATTGACTTTAACATGCTCTTATCAGCTTCCTGCTTGTGTGTTTATATGTGGCAGGAATTACATGAACAGCTGCAAAGCATTGTGATTTCAAGTCTTGCACTTCACGCACACACCCCACTTCACACCTCTGCCAAGGCTGAAAAATTCATCATGCATCAACGGACTTCCTGCATTCAGAAAATATCCTTGGATTGTGATGTTTTCTTGAGGACATTCATTTCTCTTAACTTATATTTGTGAACATATGATCCGACTCTAAGGGGTAATTACTGTTTAGTTAGGCCTGACCCAACCTCTGGTAACATTTTAATCCAAATGTATGTTGGACTTTTTAAGTAACCGTGCTAATAAACAAACAGACAGGCAGGCAACCTGAAGCCATCAAATAACCTCCCCGTTGGAGTTAATTACGTGCTTGTAATCATAATATACAGTGATTGCATTTGAGGCTGACAGAAGCATTCGTTTAAAGGCTGAAATTTTTAATATAGTTTTGGCTCCTGTGTAATATTTCCTCTTCCCTAACCTATTTCCTTCTTTCCATAATTTAAAGTAATTTAATAATGGCTCGTCTGGGTTTACTTAATGTTGGCAAAGACCTGGAGGATGGATGGATTCTTTGAGTGAATACAACAAGTTACATTTAGACTTAGATTAAAAAAAGCCTTGTAAGTATCTTACACTCAGACTGCTGCTTAATGCAATGCCTGTGCAGACTACCGATATCTTACAGGAGCTTGTCAGAAGGCAGCCATCCAGCTGCAGTGTATGGACCCAATGTATGGTCTGCTGTTACTTTGACTCACACACCTAATCTTGTGTATTCCCAGTCACTGCACAATCCCACATACCTTTGCGCGCATACACACTCTTGGGGCTGTCTTGACAGGTGCAGGCATGTGGAAAGGAAGAGATGTAGCCACAGTTAGTTAGATTCCTTTGCATACAAACACATGCAACACATTTGGAGCAGACACTCTGAAGTGATTGGAGAGATGTGGAAGAAGCACAAAAGTCCAGCCAACCGCATGCATGTGCACACAGGCAAAATGAATAGTAAGCACACTGAAAGCAGCTGTGTCTTTCTGCACTGCAAACATTCCTCCATTGGCTTTTCTTTGTTTTACCCATATTTTTATTACTGGTTGTTCCACCTTGCAGGAAGCTGTCGTAGCACGCTTGTTTGTGCATCCCAGTGTGAATATGTGTGTGGAAGAGGGAGCAAGTAAGAGAGACGGAGCAGGAGGAGGGGTGGAAAACTGGCTACTGTGAGGCTCAGTCACATGGGCATGCACGAGAGGCAGGCAGGCAGACTAAGAGAGGCTGGCTATCATTTGAGCTGCAAGCACCAAGTCAAGCTGTGAGGATGCTCTCCCACTCCTGTACAACCCTGGCTTATAGGTATTAGCTGTTAGTGTCTCAGCTGGCGAGAGACAGTGAATCATAGTGTGCTGGTTGGAAGAGGAAGTCTCTGCAGAGTCCAGGCTGAAAGTCATGTTCACTCTCCTCTTGTTCTCATTTAGCCTGTTGTGAATTGTTCACAGTAATGCGCACTCTGAAAATTGCTTCCTCGGAGGAGCAGAGCCAACCGATTTTAAACCATCAAAAGCTTGTGCACATTCAGACGCTGGGATCTGGTAACATTTGCTGCATGAAAAACAAAATGAGCTTCCCTTTTACATTTCCTTCCACCACCTGAGATGTTTTCACACTTGCACTGCAGCTTTTCCAGACATTGTCCATTAATTGTGCCGAATAAAGCAAACACAGTTGCTTCTGGACAACAGTAGAAAGTGATCCCAAGGTAATTCTCCTGAAATTGTTTGCAGCTCAACCCAACTTGTACTTGATGGTTGATTCTGTGCCACCTTTTACAAGAAGGTACACCCTCTTTCGGTTCTAAGCTTTTATGTATCAGGACATAATGAAAATCATGTGGTTGACTATTTTACCAGAAAAAAGTGCAGAAGCGGTGCATGAAAAATTAAACGTAATCACCTTTAGCAGCAGTAATCTGAAATAATTGTTACCTGTATGACTTTATCAGCCGTTCACATCATTTTGAATCTTTTTTAAAGCGTTGCTTCCGTTCATTAAACCAGAGCATTTCAATCTTGCTGATGTATAGATCATTGCAGCACCTTGATTCATTTCTTTTTCTTTTTCTAACTCTAGAGCGCAGGTGTTGACTCCAGGCCTCGAGGGCCGGTGTCCTGCAGGTTTTAGATGTGTCCTTGATCCAACACAGCTAATACAATACACAGTTGGGGCGATCGTGGCTCAAGAGTTGGGAGTTCGCCTTGTAATCGGAAGGTTGCCGGTTTGAGCCCCAGCTTGGACAGTCTCGGTCGTTGTGTCCTTGGGCAAGACACTTCACCCGCTGCCTACTGGTGGTGGTCAGAGGGCCCGGTGGCGCCAGTGTCCGGCAGCCTCGCCTCTGTCAGTGCGCCCCAGGGTGGCTGTGGCTACAACGTAGCTGCCATCACCTGTGTGTGAATGTGTGTGAATGGGTGGATGACAGGTTGTGTAAAGCGCTTTGGGGTCCTTAGGGACTAGTAAAGCGCTATAAAAATACAGGTCATTTACCATTTTACAAATTGCTAAATGACCTCCTGTCATGTCTTGGGATTCTCCAGGGGCCTGGTAATGAACTAGTCATGTGATTCCGGTGTTTTGACCCAGGATGATATCTAAAACCCGCAGGACACTGGCCCTTGAGGGCTGGAGTTCAACACCCCTGCTCTAGAGTCTGAGATGCAGCACTTGGGGTTTGTTTGCAGTTTCTCCAAGCATTGTATGGTTAGATCTTGGGTGGAATTTACTGGAAGGTTCACTCTTGGGAAGATTGGAAGCTGTCTTGAATGTTTTTCACTAAATAATCTCACTATATAACGATGGACTTCACACTGTTTGGAAATGGTCTTATAACCCTTCATAGAACTCTTCTTCTCTAAATCATTGCTGTCGTCTTTCCTCCTTGGCATCATGTTAACACACTCCTGAATTCTCCAAAAACCTCACACCTGCCCTTAATCCATTCATGAGTTTATTTTGATTAGCAGTACCTGGCTGATCCTAAACCTCTTTATTCCCATGTAAGCAGTAAGGATGTACTTTCTAATACACTGTTTCTGCATTTTGGTTAAAATTGTGGTAGATAAACAATTCAAGATTAATTATATTTTTGATTATTTTTTTTGAAAGAGGGTGTACTTTCTTTCACGATGGCTGAATATTAATTGAAATGGCTGAATGGGCTTTCACCCAGCTGCTCCTCTTTTGTCCTAACGGCAGGGTTGCATGTTTCTAGGCGTGCAGCAGTGAGATTTGAAAGCAATATCTTCTCCAACAAAATCAGGCCTATCACCTTGTCATAAGCAATGAGGAACTTTCTGCTTTCCTCAGCGGTACGGGATGTGTTGTAACCTTACTGACACAATACCACAAGAAAATCTTTTAAACATTGCCGCTCCATCTGTTTCCCAAAAGTGAAAAGTAATCACATAAGCAAAACTGGTGTCCTCATCAAAGTGTCTCATCAGTTGTATTCATATCATCGTGTATTTATTCCCAACTGTCAGGCTGTGTTGCTGCAGTTTCTCCATAAATTCCACCATCTGGGCTGCTGAGTGTGATAGCAGTTATGATGATAACAGTAACAGAGTGAGGCTGATTAATTCCCTCTCTGTCTGAAGCCATCTCTGAACCACCCTCTTCATCACTTTCCACTCTTTCTTTTGCTCATTTTCCGTTCTCCCTTTCCTGTTTTCCTACCCTTCTCTCCATTATTATGCTGAGTGTTATATATGTCTATAATTATGTCTATTTCAGGCTTTCCTGGTGGAAACAGGACTCTGATTGCCTTTCTCTACTGTTTACATCCTGTTATTAGGCTGGAAATGATCATAACATGGCAGATACTGCTTTACTTCATGTATTTACTGGTATGATTAGTATTTACTAGTGTAGCACGTTGTCACCATACTAGAACTGTTTATCTAATATGTTTAAGCTTGTCTCATGATATGCGGACGCACCTGCACGGCATCTGCAGATCACACCCACGGTGTTAAAACACGGGGACTCAGGGGTTGTTGTTGTGGTGTGATGTGCGGCTGGCAGCTTGGGAGCTGCAGCCAGTGTAAATAAATGGCTCAAAAAACGGATCTGTGGTCCCGCCGTGCCTTATTCACGCCACAGAGGCATATTGAGTTAAAGTTAAAGTGAGTTCATTAAGAGAGCTTGCAGTCACACATGTATCTGTGAACCTGTACTTGGGCTGGGGTGGGTGGACTGTAAATGTCTGAATAAACCTATTGGCATTGGAACAAATAAATAGGATACATTTTGGTGCATAGTCTAGTCAACCGTCACACACATGGGCTTCAGCGCCGCCTGCACAGCAGAATAATCAGTTGTAGTTCATGAGGTTTTCTAAAGGACTTCGTGCCCTTGATGTTACTGTTTCCTGCAGTCACTCAGTCAGGCCCCTGCTTGTGTTTGACACTGTCATTACATAATGTTAGGCTGCTGCATCCACCCTGTGGGATTCATCTTTGTCACGGGAAGGACTAATGATGCTGAGTAATGGAGCCTCTCTGTCACAGAGCGACTTACAGCCAGTGCTTTGTCTCTTCTTGTCCCCTCTCCTACAGATGCAGCTGCTAAGAAAGCCTTCATCACAGAGGTGAGCCACCACCTGCACCTGTCTCTCTGTCTTTTACTTTGTTTTTGATCTTTGCTTTTTGTCCCATACTATCCCACTATAATGGTTTCATTTGAGGCTTTTAATTGGTGCTTGAAAACCGCCTCCAATGTCACTACAAACAGCACAAAATATTTAAAAGCATTAGTGATTTTTCTTCTTGTCTGTATTTATAGGACACAACATTTTATCAGCATGTATCCTTGCTCTCTACATACATATATACAGCTACATTTAAACTATCCTGAGTTTGAATAAGTAATCCTTAGTGAGGCAAAAGCTCACTCCACCCTTCTCTAAAAACATGGTTTATGGCCCTTTTTTATTCTTCTGTTCTCTCCAGTGTCAGCGAGAGCAGATATGATCATCAGCACAGAGCCCTGCCTGCACGTTGTTCAAATAGTTTTGTTCGGGAGGGGCACCCAATTAGAATAAAGGGATGTTTTCCTTAAGACAGTGGAAGAAGTGAGGCGCTGCACTAAAGCCCAGTATGAGATAAACAGGAATTATTCTGAGCCGCGACTCAAACTCAAAGCTGGAAATAAGCATAATAAGTCTTCTTTAATCCTCCTAATTTGATCAATCCCTTTTATACACAGCGCATTTTAGCAAGCCCTAAAGTATTGCCCAATTTGTTTAATAGGAGTGTGCAGATTATTTAAATCTACTTAAATACCAGTTTAAACCAAAAGCTCAGTGACCATTACGTACAGTGGCTCTAGAATTATTTGCAGTGGATAAGATCCTAAAATCATTACATCAGCTCCATTACATTAGCTGAGCTACAGTCTGTATATCGCTTCAAAATGACAAACATCAGACGTTGAAATTGCTGCCATTCAACGGTCTCCATTCATAAAGAAGTGCAAGTACTGCTGACCGGATTATAATAGTCTGCTTCTCTCTTCTTCTTATCAGATGGCCTCATCCTCAGGCCAGCCTGGTCAAGGAAAGAAGATTGGACACAGAGGGGTGGACGCATCAGGGGAGACTACTTATAAGAAGGTGCTATACTATACAGTTTCTGTTTCTAAGAGTGACCTTTGATATGCTATCGAAGAATAGTGCTATGTCTCTAGGTGTTATAAAATGAGTTTTTCTGCCCTGTTACACCCAAAAAAGGTTTTAGAGGCCAGAGGAAAATAAAGATTTTTCTTTCAGTCAGTTTTATTATCAGAGGTTAATTTATCTAAGAAATATATGCATTTTCTGTTTGTCTGGTAATCCGAAATATGAAATGACATGACGCAGACTCATTGCCTTTGTACACTTTATAGATGATACCATTAGATTCTACTGAAACATTTCTAAAGAGCAATCTCAGACTGTCCTGTGAGGTTTAGAAGAAGATGAAGAATTTCATTTTTGCCTCCTCCACTAACTCTTTTGCAGACCACATCATCAGCCTTGAAAGGTGCCATCCAGCTGGGCATCGGTTACACAGTGGGTAACCTGAGCTCCAAGCCTGAAAGAGATGTGTTAATGCAGGACTTTTACGTGGTGGAGAGCATCTTTTTCCCCAGGTTTCTGTTACACCCAAACACCCACTAAAGCCCTCTAGTGCACTAATAAGTGGAATTTTTTTAATTTATTGACCGGATGTTGTTATCCTAAACTTTTAGTGAAGGGAGCAACCTTACTCCAGCCCATCATTTCCCGGATTTCCGCTTTAAAACGTACGCTCCTGTGGCCTTCCGCTACTTCAGAGAACTGTTTGGCATCAGGCCGGATGACTACCTGGTAAGAGTTCACTCGTCTTTGTCTCTAGATCCAGACTACGTTTAAGGTCATTGAAAACACTTGAGTGGTAGCAGACCAATCAAGGTTGGTAGCAGACTTTCCTTTATTGGTTAAAGCACTCTTTGATTTGAATCTACACACACCTTATCAGTAAAATTTTTTTATATCCTTCCAATGTCCTGAAAGGACGATTTTTCTCTAATTTTAGATATAAATAAACTTCTTTTTAACGGCCGATAGTGGCCAAACCGATTTGACACAGAAAAAGGCATCACTGCAACTTGTTGGGGTGGAGGTATAAACAACAGAATTAGAAGAAAAAAACTCTTGATAAAAAGTGGGATCTTAGTAGAGAGCTAAGTGAAAAGGAATGTGGACAATAAGCCATGAGACAGCATCTGAGAGGGCAGAGAGGAGAGGAGAAGAAGGCTGGAGAAAGAGAAGGCAGGTCTGGAGCTTGTCTCTCTTCCTCTGTCTGGGGAACCTGGAGGCTGCATGATTCAACGCTCTGCATATACATACACTGATTAGTCAGTGTTTTTGCATGCTCCATGTGCACTTGTCCTCAATGCATTGGTACTCCAACCACGTGGAAACACAGCATTGTGCCGGCTTTTCTCCCTTTTCTCTTTCAGTCAGCAAGTCATCTGGAGACATTTCACCACTGACTGGCTGTACTTATTATTCAGATTTTAGGTCACAGCATAAACTCAAAATTATAATATGAATCTAGAGTCTATATTCTCTTTTTAATTCTTTTTTTAAGCATTTCCTTAAGCACTTGGACATAACATAGGACAATCTAGTTGATTGTCTTAACTGGTAGATGGTGTTAATTGAACGGTGCTCAACAAATCCTGAATTGAAATTTATAGAAAATGCAGCAGCAGCAGAGGAAGTGGTATACAGAGGTCCCTCGCTATGACACGGTTCACCTCTCGCAGCCTCGCTATTTCGCTGAATTTTTTTTGTGCAATTTTTCATGCTTTTATTTATTTATTTATTTATTTATTTATTTATTTATTTATTTATTTATTTATTTATTTTACTGTGCATTACGTTCTGCATCCTGATTGGCGGTAGACTATTGTCAATCAATCTTGTGCCATGTCTCCTGTACAGTACAGAATGCGTTCACCTTCTCAAATTAATATAAATCTTCGATTGCTAGCAGTGTGATTCCATAGTGCTGCACTAAATGTTTGTAAGTTTTCTCCCCAACAAATACAACAATGTTGATTAGACGTTTTGCACCATCAAAGGCAACCGCGGGTGCCTTTGGTTTCATTCTATAATACTGGACTTATTTTCTACAAAGGTTTGAACTTTGAGGGTTTTTAAACAAGAGAGAAAAGTGTGAAAATGTTCATGCCTGTCTGCGAAAAGTGTATAAAGTGTGTAGTGAGGGGTTTTACAGCCTTACAGCATCTATAATAATACTAAAAAATAAAGTTGACTCCTTTGCGGATTTCACCTATCGCGGGTTATTTTTAGGACTTAACTCCCGATAAACGAGGGACCATTGTAAACCTCACTAACCTAAGGGGTCAACACTTTAATTTGGGACATAGTCAACAAAACTTTCAATGATTTTTAAAATCAGATATCACTGATATTTCTGTACTTGCACACTTACGCACTGACGACCACTGAAATTAATTTAGACAATGCTTCAAAAGTAAGGCTAAAGTAAGATTACATTACATGATCGCTGGTTGTTGGTTAGACGTGCTACAGCAAAGACTTAATGTTCATGTTTAGTGTTCAGTCTGCTGTGGATTTTTGGTTGTAAGTTAAAAAAAAACAACTTTCACTTCAACTGCAAGGCTAAAATTTATGGGCATAAAGTGCTATAATAATGATGATGATGATACATGCTATTTCTGTATAGCATCTTTCTAAACCCCAGTTACAAGATACTAAAATAGCAGCATGGAAACATTTCTGAATGCATAAAAAGAGAGAAAAAAGACAAAATGATGACAGAAATCATTAAGAATACATAATAAAACATTATGAACAAGCCAGGTGCTGTTGTAAAAGCAGATAAGTGACAGATAAGAGTCAAACTTGAAGCTGCGCGTGCATTAAAAGCTCAAATTTTAATCTAGAACATAATTATTCTGTGACTTATGAACTGAAATGTAGTCTCACTATAAAAAATTACTGTATATGAGCCATTTCTGCTCACAGGTAGCTGATGTTGTTAGAGTTCATTAGTGGTGGATGTTAAAAAGTAATTTGTTACAGTAGAAAATTGCTGCCATTAAAAGGTAATTTGAAGGGTTAACGGCTTTTTGCATTACCAGAACACTTTGGTCGTATTTCCTCTGTCTCGTAACCAACAATAAGCTTGTTAGTGTTGCTACGAGTGACAGCTTCAGCCATTGCTGTTGTGGGGCTGTAGCACTGGCACCATCTAATCCAGCCTTTCTAACAAGTCACTCTGTTATGTGTTACCACCAACAAGTTATTCATAGACAAATCATTAGGGCCTGGCAGAAGAGATAATGTGTTGTTGACACATTTGTGGCGGCAGCTACTGATTTTTGTTATTTCCTGTGGACCTGCCAATTATGGGCCTTTCTGTTTTGTCAGTAAATAGTGATAAAGGGATGTTAGATTTTCTCACACCCAAAAAGACAAAGAAAGCTTAAATAGTCTCTGCAGCAGTTCTGTTTGCTGAAGATTTGAAGCTGTTTTATCACATCCCTAAAGAGACTTTCTCGTCTGATAAATTAGACATCTTAGTGTAGGGCTGTGACGACTATGACCAAAATCTCATATCCCAATATTAAGACATCTATCGTCCCGATAACGATATAAATCACAAGAATGTAGCATTTTCTGTAAATTCTGTGAATCTCGGGCAGCTCGACTTGGTGAAGTGTTTCCAGCTGTGCGTCATGTAGCTGGAGTCAAGTGTTTTAACCGATGCATGAAACGATACATTTTTAGACATAAGTTGTAAAGGCCGCCGTTTTCTTTGTGAGTATTTATTACACGGCGTGCTGCGGGGAAAAGCCTGTTCTAACGTTTGAGTCTAAGGTTTATTTTTTAGCACCTGGCGGCTCTTTTTAAATTCTCATCCGTAAATAATCTGCTCTTTCACGTGATTCAGTTTATTTTGAAAAGTCTCAACAGGATCTTGAGCTTTATTGTGAAAGGTTAATGTGGAAACTAAACCAGCGGACATGCGATGGTTTTGCCGTCGTTGTTGCTAACGACAACGCATAAAAACAGGGGCTTGTCCATCTGTAGTGTGGTTATATTAAAAATAAGACAAAGAGAGAACTTTAGGAAATTAATATAGCCACTACAGTGACCATCAAAACCATGAAAAAATATTGCCGTAAACAGTTTATTTTACGACACCACAAAACAAAAGATAGTGTAAAATGAAACTATAGACCTTTTTATATCGTTATCCGATATATATCGTTATATCGAACAGCCCTAGTGTGAAGATGAGCCTCCCAACTGTTTGCTTATTGCTATTCCTAGTCAGCTTCACATTCTTATCCTCCCGTCCTGCTTAGGTGTGTTTTAAAATGTTGGAATTGATTCAGGAGAATGTTCAAATGTGAGTAATTAGCGGAAGTTAGATGGGGAGTGTTTGTATAAAAAAAGGTTACAACGTTGGAATTTTAAAAGCATGTTCTTTCAGCTTTGTGTTTGTTTCCATTGTAATTCTGTAAAATATATATTTATTCTATGTCCTTATATGTCCTATGGCCTTTTGTGTTTCATTAATATTCAAATTTGGGCTCTGTGTCTCAGCATGCTGGTGTTTGTGTTTGATTTCCAGTGTTTATGTTTATTATCAGCACTGCAGGCAACTCCTAATTTATAGATTTGATCCCCAGAGAGCCAGAGAGTTCTAGTCAGCGTGGTATTCTTCATTAATATGTTGTTAACAGGAAGGTATCAGAGGAGATGTATAATGAAGTGCCGTAATTATTTTTCTGTGCTTTTTTGTGTTCCACTGGTAGCGTTTGCATGGATTGCAGTAATCTAAAAGAACCAGATGGGAAGGGTTAAGGGGGATCTATGCGGGGAGAGGTGAAAAGGATTCGGTCCACTCAGCCAATTCCACCTTTATGGCAGCAGCAGCGGCTGTGATACAGAGCTTACGGAAGCAATTAAAGTACTTAGGTGAACTCTTCTGAGTCATGGCTCAGTCAAATCTGAACACCGTTAACAATTTACTGAGTCAGTGTGACTCACACTGACACAGTCAGTGTGACTCACACTGACTGAAGAAATGATCATGTTCCATGACTTTGTCGAATAGACTGCAACTTTAAAAAAAACATGTTTTCTGTAACTTGTCTACGAAGTTGCGTTCAGTTTCAGAGTAGTACAATTTGTGCGTCTTGCAGACAGAGTACTACTAACAGCTAATTCAGTGTACTTTTACTTAGTACTATATCCTCTATGTAAACAATTGTAAGGTCAAATTAGGTCAATATTCTTTCTCATCTATTTAAAGTTTTATTTACAGTTGTTTTGTTTAACTTTTTCATAACATTGGTCATTTTTCCGTGTGTAACCCTGCAGTACTCCCTGTGCAACGAGCCTCTGATCGAGCTGTCCAATCCTGGAGCGAGTGGCTCAGTCTTCTATCTTACAAAGGACGATGAGTTCATCATCAAGACTGTGATGCACAAGGAGGCTGAATTCTTACAGAAGCTGCTGCCTGGATACTACATGGTAAGCAGATTGTGTGCATGACAGCGTACCTAAAATGTATATGTAACGTGCTCAAATGGGCGTGTCCCACCAAAGAAGTTCAAATGAACTGCCACAGCAGCTGTTCTTCCATGTTTTATTTATTTTCTCACTGGGATTTGGCAACTCTTTTCAGGTTTACGTTAAGTAACGCACACTAATTTCTTGTCGTCAAGACACACAGATTCATGAACACTGGATAAAAGGCAGGGAACCCTTTGTGTACTTATGCATGTTTGTTTGAAGACACCACACTTTTTTACAAATCCATATTTTAATAGAGATGCTTTGCATGAGTCGTAGTTCAAAAAATAACCCTTCTTTAGCTTATGCCAGGCTTTAGAGCAGCCTCTATCTGAAACAAGCTATTTAGCTCCCGTTTTTCTTTCTTTAAGGCCAGCCTGCATTTAAGGAAACTTTTATCTGATTGGCTACCCTTTTTTCACAGCTTCAACTGACCATATTAGGGATATCTGTTCTTAATGACATCATAAAAGGCCAAGAGTAGAACGATTTGTCTATTAGCAGTCTGAAACCTGACATTTTGGCACACAGGGATTACTTCTACATGCACTGACCTCATCATTTGAAATATTGGCTATGTTGAAAAACTGTAATAAGGCATATATGGAAGAAAATAAGAAAATCGTGAATAAATAATAGGTTATTATTTATTATTATTTCATTTAAATACTAACTTCTATTCCTACTTTTTTTTTAAGCTCTCAGGTTTATGTAAGATCCTGGAAATGTTTCCTCCAAGCACAAACCTTCAAATAAAGCAGACTTAACAGCTTTTATCTTCTGTGACTGAAACCTCAGGCCATAGGATTTCATAAGAGACTGGCTGGTGTTTTTCAGTAGCCGGATGTACTGTACTTAAGCCTAACAGAGCATGACTTCCACCAACAGTAGCCCACTCCCACCCCCTCCAAAACTTCACAGCCTCTTTCTGAAAGAAGTCAACCAGCAACAGCTCCATGTATGTCCATGCTGCTAATCCAGCCTCACAGGTTCATAGCCCTCGCCCTTGTGTTTATTCATGCACCGACAGCTGCGGGCAAAGTCCACTGCAGGAATTTGTTTAATCATTTAAGGAAGTTGAAGTCTCAGCGCATTTACTGTGACCTTTTCCATCGTTTTGGTTGTGCTCTGAAACATTTTCACAGGTGTAATTGGTCTTAAGCGAGTGGTTTAATAAAAGCGGAGAGTTTCGGGCTGTAGCCCGAGGCAAGAGAAAGGGGAGGGAGGTTTTAAAGACTCTCAGAAACAGACACAGGACAAAAAATGTATGTTTGGACATTGAGAAGTAGTTTGAGTATTGGAGACTTATCTGTATTTTAGGCAAACACATAACAGACAGCGTACAAGCAGTCATTGGTGGAGCTCCACGTCTTCAACAGCTGACTGGCTCATGGTTGTGGGCTGAAGACTCTGGCTCTGGGCAGCATGCAGACCACAGTGATGTAACTGACTTCGTGCTGCCACTTCTCTCCCCTCTGTTTATTCACCCTTCTATTATATGGCTTGTCCTTCGTGTTTTAATGTCTTGTCACTCTCCAAAGAGAGCCTCCTGCTGCTGTGGCTCTCTCAGCGTGATTTATTTTCCTTGATTTCCCCCTCTCGCTCTGTCTTTGTGTTTAAATCCTTCCTCTCGTTTTTCTTCTCCATCCCTCTCCTCTGCTCCCGTGCCTCACGTGTTCGTGTTGTTGGCTCGTCACCGCTCTGCCCTCGTAACGCTGACAGAAGGGTTGTGTGTGGCTGAGGGCTGAGGATGCTCTTTCTCTCTTTGCTGCTCTTTGTAGAAGCTTTTCTCATCTGAAGGTCATTCACCAAGTACCTAGTCTTTTCAGCCACATTTTCTAGTTATCCTTCATCTCTCTGGAGTCTGTTCCTCTTTCTCTCTCCTCTTGCAGTCATTTTTACCCCTGATTGCTGTGTGTTACCACTATATGGAGCAGCCCTCTGTTTCTCGCACTTCTCTCATCTTTCTAATGGGACTGAGCTGGCCCAAGTCCCAAGGTCAAAGCAGGTTTATAACTGAGGAACCAGCCAAACTAATTTGTTTGCATTGATTCTTGAAATATTTGGCATAACCTGTGATACAGAGGAAAGTACTTGCTAAAGAACTTTTTTAAAATGTCCTTGTGTGCCTTCATCTTGTTATTGCATTTGGCTTAGCCAAAAATGATCTAAAGTGCTTTGTGTCTTTTCATTTCTGTTCAGTGATAATAGTTTGACTGTGACTTTGCACAAAAAATCCCCCAAAAACCCAGTCAGATATGAATTCAGCCGATTACCCCTTGTAGTCGGACTCCTCAGGCATCGCTGCTCTCCTTCCACAGCTGTTATTTTTAGATCGCTCTGTGTAAGTCCCCTTCTCATCACTTGCACGTGAGCATCTGCAGTTCCCACTGGATCTCCTCCAGTGTATCAAAATAGTGATTCTTCAACTTGACTTACATTTCTGGGAAATGGAAGAATAGCAGGAAGCCAAATCTGGCAATCAGGTTGATTAGTAAACCAGAACTGAGTTGGAGTGGCTTCAGCTCCAGATTTTTCAGTGTGTTATTTATTGGCATACATCGCAACTCAGGTTGTTTATGCTGAATATTTTCCCTCAGGTGCCTCAGCACATTACAAATTTCACAGTGAATAACCTTGTAAATATTGAAAAAAAAAGCAAAAAAGCAGCAAGAAACAACTTGGGTGTGCACACCGACGACCTTTACGCTGAAAACTCCTGTTTGGTCTTTAAGTCCTGGCCAGAGACAGAGCTCTCGCTAAGACATATGTTCTTCGAGATGAGAGTCAAGTCAGTTTGATGCAATACATTCAGCTCAATTCAATTTTATTTATATAGTGCAAAATCACAGCAACAGTCACCTCAAGCCGGTTTATATTGTAAGGTAAAGACATTAAAATAATACAGAGAAAACCCCAGCAATCAGATGACCCACTATGAGCAAGTGCTTGACAAAGGTGGGAAGGAAAAACAACCTTGTAAAAGGAAGAAACCTATAGCAGAACTAGGATGAAGTATTAAATATTAGGGCTGTTCGATATAACGATATATATCGGATGACGATATAAAAACGTCTATCGTTTCTTTTTACGCTATCCTTTGTTTCGTGGTGTCGCAAAATAAACTGTTTACGGCAATATTTTTTCATCGTTTTGATGGTCACTGTAGTGGCTATATTAATTTCTTAAAGTTCTCTCTTTCTCTTATATTTAATATAACCACACTATGGACGGACTAGCGCCTGTTTTTATGCGTTGTGGTTAGCAACAACGACGGTAACAGCATGGCGTGTCCGCTTGTTTATGTTCCACATAAACCTTTCACAATAAAGCTCAAGATCCTGTTGAGACTTTTCAAAATAAACTGAATCACGTGAAAGAGCAGATTATTTACGGATGAGAAGTAAAAAAGAGCCGCCAGGTGCTAAAAAATAAACCTTAGACTCAAACGGTAGAACAAGCTTTTCCCCGCAGCACGCTGTGTAATAAATACTCACAAAGAAAGCGGCGGCCTTTACAACTTATGTCTAAAAACGTATCGTTTCATGCATCGGTTAAAACATGCATTCGACTCCAGCTACATGACGCGCAGCTGGAAACACTTCCCGCAAGACGAGCTGCCCGAGATTCACAGAATCTTTTGTAGAACTGTAACCATTAATTATTTTCTTTATTTTTAATAAGTAATTCAAGTAAAACATGTAAACAAAATTACAACATAAAAATTCACATCATCGCACTGAGAATGATCAAAAACCTGTCAGTCATACTTTCATTCTGACTGTGTGCTCTGGTGGAGCATCAAAGGTTTTTGTTCTTACAGTAAATTTAAAAGCTTAAATTCCGCTTTGATACGACTCTTTCCCGAGTCGTGCTTTTTAAGTATGATTTTCTTCTCCTGTGGCTACAGAATCCAGTGACCACTTTGATATACATGACATGGCACTGTGAGAAAAACCTTCATTTCTGTTGGCTCTCTCTGTTGTGTAACGGATCCTGGTGCGATCAGGTGGTGAATATGTAACCGTAGCCAAAGTGTGTGTACACTGAGAATCATGTGTTGTTTCTCAGTCAACTGTTTGCGTAACATGTATCAGCTATCCTATCCTTCGTGTATGTTTCGTTCCGTCACGTTCCCATGAGGAGAAAAATGCCTCTTTGTGTTCAGTGGCGTTCCTTTTTGTGCTGTTTTGAAGCTTTTATTTAAACTGAAATGGATATCATTAATCAAAAGCAACAATTTCTGTTCCAGTGTCAGAAACACTGCCTGAAGTCATACAACTTCTAAAAGATATATATATTTTTGTTACATGTGAGCTTACTGTACCTCACACATATTGTATTTCGGCTCAATCCCTCACAGCGTCTCCTTATGGTGTTCATTTCTCATGTTCTCCCTCTTTTCCTCTCATCTCCAGAACTTGAATCAGAACCCTCGCACTTTGCTGCCCAAGTTTTTCGGCCTCTACTGTGTCCAGTCAGGTGGCAAGAACATCCGTGTGGTTGTTATGAACAATGTCCTCCCCCGCGTGGTGCGCATGCACCTCAAGTACGACCTGAAGGGCTCCACCTACAAGAGGCGAGCGTCCAAGAAGGAGAGGGAGAAGGCCAGGCCCACCTTCAAAGACCTGGACTTCATGCAAGACTTGCAGGATGGCCTGATGATGGACCAGGACACTTGCAATGCCCTGACCAAGACCCTGCAGAGAGACTGCCTGGTGAGAAATATGAATATACAGCTAAATGCAAATACTAGTTTTAGCTTTTTTACTTATGTTTTCTGTTGAGACAGACAGGAGGGGAGGAGATGGTGAAGTTGGTTTGCTTGTTGTGATGCAGGATCCGTTAAATGGCTCATAAAGAGTAATGGTAGATGAAGAAGCATATAAAAAGTCTTTAAAAAGAAGGGTGGGGAAGCCCATGATACTCATGGTGCCCTGATTGATAAAAGAGGATGGATGAGAGTAGACAGGGGAGCTGGAATGGAAGAAAAACTTTTCTTGAGGTTATGATGTTTGGCATTCCCAGGACCCCTTTCTATAAATTAGAGCTGTGTTACGAGTACAAGGTTTAACGAGGTGTCTGGTCTGGTAGCTGGCTGGCTTTTTCTCTTGTAAATCACTGTCTGCTGTTTCCATTTACAGTACTCGGAAAGCAGTGTGTGTGCACTCACTGGCAGTCAAATACATTGTTTATCAGTGTGGGCATGCCCGTGCACCACTCTGTCTTGTGTATAGCATTAACATCTCCACGGTTATTGGTTTTATATCCCTCTTGGGGACATGTTAAAATAATAAAAAATAAAAGCTTTCAGTCAGGATTTAGAAGCTGCGTGTCTCATAGGCACTGCACACTGACAACTATCTTTGCCTGTCCTGTGCTCAGGTGCTGGAAAGCTTTAAGATCATGGACTACAGCCTGCTGCTTGGGGTCCACAACATCGACCAAGCGGAGAGGGAGAGGCAGATGGAGGGCTCCCAGGGTGACAGCGATGAGAAAAGGCCCGTGGCCCAGCAGAAGGCTCTGTACTCCACAGCCATGGAGTCCATCCAGGGGGGAGCTGCCTGCGGAGGGTCTATTGACACAGACGACACGTGAGTTTGGCCAGAGAGGAGAACAGCAGAGGCTTTTGGGAGTGCATGTCTCCGACTTCCCGCATTTATACGAGCTAACAACCTGAAGGATAAATAACAATGTTAGAACTTATTCATCTACCTTTATCTCTTACTCTCCCTCCTAAAGTTATTCTGCTTTCAGTAGTTACGCTTCTTCTCTCTCTTCAGCTCTTTGTTCCCTTTTAATGCTCACACTTGATGCGACACTTTAGTTCCTTCAAATTAAATGTAAACCATTTCAGTGCTTCAATTTCAACTGCTTTCAGCCTGAAAATATAATTGCATTTTTTTGGTGCTGCCTCTTAGAGCTTAATATACACAACTTCAGAGAAATTCAAAAGAAATTGAAGAAAATGCAAAACTTCAGATCTTGCCCGTAAAGCAATCAGCGGTTTTGTGTCAGAAGTCCGAATGTTGAGTTCAGTGTAGATTAAAGGTTCAGCAGAGACTAAAACCCTGCTGACTTGCTAAGATGCAGTTAGCCTTAACAAATCTGAGTACCCTAATACTCTATAGTCTTAGATTTAAGTAGAAAGAAACCAACATTTCCTGCCTTTATAGGCTTATTCTCATAAGCCAAATTTCTGGTAGAAACATCATCTGACTCTGAAATCTCATTAAATCAGATTTTCTGTCACGAGTTTAAAAGGCACTGAAGGGCCAGGGTATGAGTGTATTCACATTGCAGAGAAGCACTTATGGGATTATGAATGCCTGGATGCCTGCAGTTACCTGAATGAGCTGCAGGAATGGCAGAAGACTGCAAAGATGAACCAGACCCGATGCTGTCATCCTCTCCACAGCTGGGGTTCACATTTCTGTTCAGTTAAACCCAACCATGAGTCGTACGGCTTTAAATCTAGATACATTTATTTTGAATAAGTGTTGTAGTTTGACATTAAATGTTGTTTTACTCACAAATCCTAAAGCTGACTAATGATGATAAGAAAGAGAAAAATAAATCAGATAAACTCTGTGGAGAAGCTGATGGCTGGAGATTAATGGCACCCAAACCTGCCACATTTCATTTTAGCTTTACTTCTCTTCTCCTTTCAGGATGGGCGGTATCCCCGCCGTTAGCGGAAAAGGAGAAAGGCTTCTTCTCTTCATCGGAATCATCGACATCTTGCAGTCTTACAGGTGATCATCTTAGAAATCAGCCAAACGTCTGTATGATGCTGACACAGTGTTTTGTACTAAAACACCTTTAAGTTCATTAGGTTTATTCATGTTTGCCATGCCAACTTTGTTTTTGCAGGTTAATCAAGAAGCTGGAACACACGTGGAAGGCTTTGGTTCATGATGGGGTGAGTTTTTTAGCTTTTGGGTTTCTTTCCTGAGCTTCGACATTGTAAGAGGGTTTATTGGCACAAAATGTCAATTTTCTGTCAGCTTACCTGCCTGACTCATTATTTCTCCATCCACATGGCTAAACCTGTAAATCCACACCTATCCCAGACTAACCCTATAAAGTTACAGGGCAGTGTCACAGAGTGGTGAAGTTTTTTCTTTTTCTTTTATTTATTTAACCTTTATTTAACCAGGAGGATCCTATTGAGATTAAAAACCTGTTTCAAGGGAGACCTGGCCAAGATAGGCAGCAGCAAGTCTCTCACAGTTACTCAATTAAACACAGGCAGCAACAACACACGTGAAAAAAGAAATGAAAAATCAAATCAAATAAAGATAGAATTAAATAAAATTCAGTTAAAATGACAAACAATCTAATTGAAACTGTTGCTTGTTATGGACTTGGCCTCAGGGACTCTTAGTTTTGCTTTAAAAGCACTAAATGAAATCAAATTAATTCAGTTATTTTCCAGTTCTGCAGTTCATTCCAAGTCAAGGGTGCTAAATGGACAAAGGCTCTTTTGTGCATAGAAGTCTCAAACATTCTGCTGATTCGATAACATTGAGTCAATACAGAGCTTCAAGCCTCCTCTGGCATTAACATCAGCACAAAAATTGTCCACAGGGAGCTTCATGGCATGGGTTTCCACAGCTGAGAAGCTCCTGTACTGTGTAGCTGACTTGTAGTTTTGTCCTTTGTCCTGTGCTCATGATAGATTATCCCACATATACTCCAGAGTTCGCTTATGCAGGCCATCCGGGTATATCTTAGCCTTTAGCACACATCCCAAGAACGACACCATGGAGTTACATCTTCAGTCCACTCATATTTTAAAAGTTCAATAGCTCCGTAATTTCAACATTAATCTGTTGTTTATTGTATGTAAAGTGTTATTTATTAATTTATTTATAAAACCATAGGTATATCTCTCCTCCACTACCACTACTAAAACAACGTAACTCTGAGGAAAAACACTGTCCGTTGCTCATTCTGAAAAACATGTGGGCCTTAAAACTGTAATGCCGTAGAAACACTTTATTATTAGCAAATTGCAACCACATTCATTTAAGTAGCGTTATTTCCATAAACAGAGCCATTAAGATCAGCAGCTGCCTACACACAGTATTTTATATTTTGTTCTGCCAAGTCTGATTTTACAGGGAATCTGATACAGAAAGATTTACAGCACAAAACAGAAAATCAGTCCCATGAATCTCCCCGCCTCCTTTCTTTACTCCAAGCTCCCACTCCGAAACACCCTGACAAGCGAGACGTGTGGGAGAGCAAACAGCGTCCTGTTCGTCACTGTTGCTGACGACAATGGATCCTCAGCACGACCTCCGAGCCACACGCAACATTACATATTGAGCAACAGTGATGCTGAAACAAAAAAAGCTAATAACTGAGATTCTCTCTCTTCATTGCTTCCGCCGCCCCTACTGTCCTCTGTCTCAAACCAAACACCAAGTGTCATCTGTCAGTCTGCTGGTGTTGTCTTATCTCCGTCTGCTGAAACATAAATAATGAAGAGTTGGGTCTGTAGCCTCGTCTGACTGTGTTTCTGCGTGTCTGTAGCAGGTGTCGTTCACTCGTGTGGTTTGGCCCAGAGAGAAGAATTACTGAAATGGGTCACTGAAGAACACAGACAGTTTTAATCTACTGCGAGCACCAGTTTGATCATTTTATTCATGCACCATTTGTCTCATTAATCTCTCTGTCTCTCCCTCAGGACACTGTATCGGTCCACCGGCCAGGATTCTATGCCGACAGATTCTTGAAGTTCATGAGCACCACAGTTTTCAAGAAGAGCTCCTGTGAGTTTCATTTAAGAAGTTGCCATAGGTAGAGAGAAGGAGAGTGCCACACACTTTCAGTGTCGAGTCTTGATAGAAAAATCAGATACAGCAGCTGAAAGATTTTTTTAGTTCATATCATTTTAGGAAAATACATCTGTTGGATTTCTATTTGCTTTTATTTTCACTGCTTTTAAGCATTTTGTAAAGAGTACACAGGGGTATGTGTATGAGATTTTCAGCCTTGGTTAGCTAAGGTTAGATTTAAGCAGAGGGGGTTGTTAATCAGTTCTAGCTGCTTTGGTGCTAATAAAATTAAAAGCAGGCATACGGGAGGGGTAACAATGAGACGACCCCCAAAACGGGAATGGTTTTACAGGTGGACACCCCTGACATTTTATGCCCCCCTAGTCTTTTCTGACCGTTTCTGACTCTTGGGCCTGAGAGCCCTGTGCTCACTGCCTGGCAGTGTGCAGCCTGATTGGCAGAATTGGCAGGTCCACCTCTGGTGTCCTGTGATTTTCACAGATGAGAGCAGGTTCACCCTGAGCACATGTGATAGATGTGAAAGGGTCTGCGGAAGCCGTGGAGAATGTTAAACTGCCTGTTCGGGACGCCCTGTTTGGTGGTGGGTCAGTGATGGTCTGGGGAGGCATGTCCATGGAGGGAAATCCGTGATCCATGAGATCCAAGGAGATCTCCGTGGACACCATCCGTCACCTCCTTAGGACCGTACTCTAACACTGTCAGGCATGCATTCAAGCACTTGAGGTCTATACAAACTAATGAGCACCATTCTGAGTTGCTGCTATGAAATTTCATCATTTTTTTCACTTTGATTTTTGCGATGTCTTTGAATTCAGCCCTGTGTAGGTTGGTAATTTTCATTCCCATCATAGAATGTCACATCATTCTGTGGCAACATAACCCAGTGCCTATCAGTATAGATATCCAACGAGAATCTACCCCACTGAAATATGTGTTTTCAGACTGTTCCATGTTTTATAAGAGTTTACATTCATTTATATATGTTCAGAAATGGTGTATGTAGTCGCGATGTTTGCTTGAAATCCCAATTTCCTGTTTCTGCTAAACCCAAACAAATTCCTAACCTAAAATGATTTTCTCAGGAATTAAAAGGGAAAATAAAGAAACAATATAATGGTCACTAAAAACAAAAACAGAACAAGTTCCCGAAAAGGTCTTTAAAAAGTAAAAATTCATTTCAGACTTCAGATAGATAGATAGATAGATAGATAGATAGATAGATAGATAGATAGATAGATAGATAGATAGATAGATAGATAGATAGATACAGACAGAGAGATCATAAAAACTGTCACTTAAAGGCTGTGTATACTGTAAGCTAAATACCCCAAACTATTAACCCTCAACACAACACACAGGTTCATCACTGTAAATAAAAGCCTTATTGTAAATTATTCCTCAGCTTTGAAGTCCTCTCCGTCAAAGAAGGGTCGTGTGTCCTTGACGGTGCCCAAGTGTGGTGGTCCTGGTGCAGCTTGGTCAGCCAGCCAGCTGACCTCTGAGAGAGACGAGAATATCTACGACCTGAGAGGAGCTCGCAGCTTCCCAACGCTGGAGGACGAGGGTAAATACACTGCATGCTGTGTGTTATGATAAAATTAACAAAGATGGAACACGGTATATAGTTTTACAACAGCATATTCCATCCATCCATCCTTTCTCTACCATGTATATGTGGCTGGGTTGCGGGGGCAGTAGCCTAACAGAGAAACCCAAACTTCACTCTCCCCGAAAAAAAATCTTCGACTCATCCGGGGGAACACTGAGGTATTCCCAGGCTAGCTGACAGATATAATTTCTCCAGCGTGTCCTGTCTTTGCCCTGGGGCCTCCTCACAGTAGAACATGCTCAGAACACCTCGCCCAGGAGGCATCCAAGGAGGAAAATGCCAAAAAAAAAAAGATTGCTGACAGGTGCCAGCTCTCTCCAAGATAAACTGTAATGACTGTACCTGTGTCTGTCCACCAGGGAGACCAGATCTTCTTCCATGTACTCCTCCATCATTCGAGGAGGCCACTACAGCATCAATTGCCACTACGCTCTCCTCCACCACCTCTTTGTCCATTCCTGAGAGATCTCCCTCTGACACGGCCGAACACCCCCGCTATAGGTACTAACACACACACACACATCTTTTAAAACATTTATATATTAGATGGTCACAGGGAATCCATCTGTTCACTGCGCTTTTAATTATACATGAGCTTATAAATATTAAAGTTCATATATGGGACAGTTAACACTGTAATTAATGGATTTGTTATGCTTTAGTCTGAAATATAACTGGTTTTATTTCCAAACTCTTATTTCTTAAACTTAAGCTTAAAGTTGTGTTGTCAGAATTCACCAGTGTGAGCCTTAACGCATGTTGCTCTTACTGACTGTGTTTCCTCTGTCTTCAGGAGGCACACCCAGTCGCTTAGCCATGATGGGAGGTGAGTCTGAGTCCAGAGTCACAAAATGTATTAGCTTGTTTCACAAACACTCACTTGTTGTATGTTTTCATAGCATTAAACACTCCTGGGTGTGGTGGGTGGGTGGCAGAGAAAATCTGATGTCAGTGTGTTTATGACTAGGCCCGTTTTTCCTCCTCGTGTGTGTGTTTTGGCGTTTCATTTCCTCTGCGTGTTTTTCTTTTTATATGAGGCTGCTTGTGTTTTCAGGACCCAGGAGGAGCTGCGTGTGCGTGAGGAGGATCAGCAGACCATCACAGTGGAGGTGGAGCTGAAGAGACACGACAGTGAGCCCACCATCTCTGTTCCTCAGTCCTCACCTGAAATCAGGTACTCCAACAACACAAGGATAAACACTATGTAAACACAAGTCATCCTCAAACTTAGACTTAAAATTTGATGTTGGAGAGACGAATGCGCTTCTTGTCAGTTGATTTACAAGAACAAAATATCAGAAACACACTTGTAACCTGTGTATTCACATAACACTGAGTTTAATTAAATATCCTAAACCTGTGCCAACATCGACTTTTACATCGTTGGTCAGCCAGCTGCAAAACATGTTTAAGATTTTTCGATAGATACCAGGAACCTTTGGAGGAACTTTTGGTGGCACGTTTTACACCACAGACGTGCTAAAGGGGAAAGGAGCAAAAATGTGATTTACGTGACTCTGAACATGGCATGGTTGTTGGTGCTGGGACTTTCCCACACAAACATCTCTAAGGTTTGCAGAGAATGGTCCAAAAGAAGGGGTGCTTAGTACTAACTGAGCATCGTTTATATACCAAAGTCTACTTTTGCATTCTTGCTGACCGTGTCCATCTCTTTATGACCACAATGTGACCATCCTCTGATGGCTGCTTCAAGCATCGTGTCACAAAAATCATCTTTATCACCTGTTGAGAGAAAACAAGCAAAAAAAGAACATGTACTGTACTCAAATAGTCTCCACAGTAAACATATTTTGATGTGGTGGAACGGGAGATTTGCATCATGAACGTGCATCTGCAGCTATGGTGATGGTATCATGTCAATAGGGTTAGGGAATGTGTCCAAGCCAGCCCTAAGAAGGCATATCTAACAATGTGGCCTTTAAGTATATTTTTATTTTATCCACACTGGTTTATCCATCACATACACACATTAAAGGATGCATTGGGGTTCATTTAGAGTTCAGTGTCTTTCCCATGGACACATGCAAACTAGTGCAGCTTAGGGTTCATTATTTCATGGTTCCCATCTTTATTTTATCTGTTGGCCTCACCCAGAGTTAGGGGGCGGCACGAACCAATGCTTTGGTCTAAAGTGTATTCTTTAAGCAAGCGTTTCTCAGTACCTGTAAACGGACTAAGTATTTGTATACTTTAAAAAAATATCCTCATTTAAAATAGATAAAAACGATGTAATACAGCTGCCACCTGGCATGTTGCCATATTAGTCCCACAAAATGCTTAATGATGAATATTTTCCACCATGCACAAAACAGACCATTATGAATAAAAGAAACAAAGTCACAGCCTCTGTCCTTTTCACTGTAAACGACAGAAAGACGTGAAAGAAAGAGGCAGCTCTTATCATGCATGTGACCCAAATACAGAAAGAGCTAGAACGAGGCTCCTCTATTACTGCAATATGACTCAGTTTGACACCATACTATAAATAACCTGCTGCCTGTGTCTCAGCAGGACTTAGCCAGCTGTTAGGTAAACACACCTCACCTGTCTCACACACACACACACAGTGGAACACAGAGAAACACTGAAAGCAGCTTAACCCATTTCTTCATGAGGTCAGGGTTCTCTTGTTATGGGGAAATAAATGCTGCAGGTGAATTTAGGGGCATGCATCTATAGTAATTAGGTTATGAGAGAGTGCCCACATGCATACATAAGGAGTGTTTATCTCCTGTTTTTTTAAATGGGAACATGGTGCAGACACTAAATCCAAAAAACCCAAACATGGGGGAAACGATCAGAAAAAGTAGGGTAGTGGGTCGGGAAGGTTTCACGCCTGAGGCTACCGCCCATAAAGCTGCGATTATCCCACACTTTGTATATTTTAAAATGTTTCTGATTAACTAGATTGGATTGCATGTTAGTTTTAATTTCAAGGTGAAACAAAGAGAGTTAGAGCAACACTTTATGCCGCTCTGGATTTTGAAAACAAAAACTAAATAACTTTCATTTTTACAGACTTAAACAGACGTAATGTAAACACGCTGGAGTTTTCCTGGAGTCAGGTCAGTGGAGATTGGGGTGCGGTTGCCGAGGGAAGCCAACTGAATAATTGGGTTTGATGGTGAGAAGGCAGTGGCTAGACATAAGGCCTGGGGGTCTGGAAAGAGCTGGCGGGGAGGAAGGAAGGGGTGGCGAGAGCACCCGAGACGGTGATAGGCGAATGGATTAACTGCCTCAACGCTCCTCTGAGAAGCTGCTTCTAACATACCTGCAGCTTTGGAAATGGGTTGGATGGAGGTGAGAAGGCCGACATGAAGTGGAGAAATTGTATATTTAATTAGAAGATGAAAAGAAAAGATAAATATAAGGAGCAATTTGTGAAGAAGGCAGGCAGAAAAAACTGTGTAGTGAAAAATCTTGTGTAAAAAAAAAATTAATAAATAAATAAAAGGAAAGAGGTGGGGTGAAATGGGCTGAGACGAACTGAGTAAGGGAGCATCTTTTTGCATGGCAACAATCATCCCGTCCCTCCTCGTTTGTTCAGCCATTCAGTTCTTCCCTTGGAGATGCCAAGTCTCCTTTTTTTGCTTGCTTGGCCTGCTGCCGGGCTTTTCCTCTGGTGGAGCTAAACTCAAACACAGAAGCTGAGAAAGCAATGTGGATGTGCCTAAATCCTTCCTAATAGTCGATGATCTGGCCAGGAACAATAAAGGATTGTGGCAGCACACAGCCAGCTGGCAAATCTTTAAGCTTAAGCATCTAAACCACAAACACCCCCACCGCACATATACGCACAGCTGTTGAATTTTCTCTAATAGCTTGGTCCCACTCTTCTGCCCTGCTGCTGGAAAGTGGCTTATGGCAAGTGACCCAATTAATGGCTCTTAACGGCTGTGGGTCTGTGTGTAGGTGGATGTGCAGGCAGATTTGTTTCTGCTCTTGTTAAAATACATTAATACATAAAGTGAGGTGAATTGAACAGGATGCAACATTTTTATAAATACCTGAAACTGTGTGCTGCACTTTGACCACATAGTTACGCTCTTCCTGAATCAAAGTAATCCAGTTGTGCTTGTCTGCATACATATAAAAGAACTATTAACAGCTAATTTAATGCTGCCAATTGGAGACCCTCTCCCTGCATTCATTTTCTAACAATACAACATTCGTTTTTCCACAGTGACGTTCAGGAAGTAGCCGGCGCAGACGCTCTAGACGGTGCCGCAGCAGAACCTTCAGGCTCTTCGTCAGCACCTGAAGCTGCCTCCTCCGCATCCTCATCTGCCCTAGCTGCTTCCTCCTCCCCGGGGCCACCCGAAGAGGCCACATACAGCCCAAAGGAGGCGGTGGCGGTGGAAGCAGACAGGGCCAGCCAGGTGTCCGGTTCAGGGTGCACCAGTCAGGCTTCGGTTGATGACGACGACGATGTGCCAATCACAGATATCTACTTTGTAAGTACAAACATACCCTCGGACATGTGCAGCAAACACAAAGCAGCAGCTTTCATCACTTCTCTAATCTTTTAGTTTGGCTTTGTTTTTTTAGCCATCACATCATCACGTATATCCAGTCTGGGTCGGTGTATCTTAACTGAATAGACTGAATTGTTTGACGCTGTCCTACAGATGCGCTAACATGTAGACTACAGGAAAGGAGCGGAGGATCAGGCTGGTACGGGGAAAAGAGTGTGCGCAGCTCTTGTTTGCAGTGTGTGGTGCTTTCAGCTAATTGAAATGTTTTGGGAAACATTTTGCTTTCTTGCTGGAGGCAAGTTATAAGACTGATATCTGTTATCCTGTTTTTAATGCTCAGCTTAGTCTGTTGGCAGGTAGATTAGTGTTTAGATGTGAGAGTCGAGTCACTCTTCTCATCTACCTCTTAGCAAGAGGCATATTTCCCAAAATGTTTTCTTTAAACACAGGTGTGCGCTTTGGTTTGGAGTGTTTGCTGAGTGATATTAGAGTGATGTATACCTTCACTTGTTGCTCCTGTCTCAAATGATCTCGAGCCAACCTTCAGACACAAACTCACAGGATTTTTCTAAATAACATTTAAAGCTTTTTTTCCCCCCATTTTCATCTGCTCAGCCTCAGTACTGTCAGATAGTATTGTGCTAGCAGTCTACCCAAAAGCGTAGCTATAAATGAATGTATGAGCATCGGGTGAAGGAGAGCAGAGCTAGTGATCACAGTTACAGATAGAAACGTTCTCACTTGGCCTGTCAGGAATTAAACACCTTCTAATGTGGCTTTGAGAAACTTTAATGACCAACAGGTTAGTCTGTGAGCTCCCTCAGTAATTTAACAGCCTTCTCATCTACCCGGCTGTGGCTGACGCCCATTACAAGCTTCAAAAGCAGGAGATCCTCTCTCTGTGCACAGCAGCAGGGGGTCTGTAGCACTGCGTGACAAAAAGTGACACCACACACATCCTGAAGTGTAACTACAAAGAAGCATGCCACAGGCAGAGCGCTTAGAAGGGACTTCATGGAGTGGCAAAGAGCTTGTTGTTCTATTAGCTGCTGATGAAATGCCAACAACACAAACGACAGTATAAAAGGAGTACGGACAAGTGTGTTTAGACTGGATTTGTACCACAATACTCAGTTTAGCCTTTCGTCTTTTTGTGCTCTCCCCTCGCTCTGAAGAATAAATTGGATTTCTGCATGATTGCCCAAAAGGCTTGTTCCAATCTTAAACACTTCAGGTGCTGCTCCGGTTCATTCACACATGAAGAGCAAGACACATGTTTCGGAAATTATTTCTCAGAAGTTTCAAATGAAATTATTAACATGCTACAATCTGGAGCAGTGTTTAAATGCCTAATGTCTAAAATGAAATCAAAATTTATTTCTATAGCATAATAATTATTATTATTGAATTATAATACAACAAAGTTGACCAAAGTGCTTCACGGTCGGTCAGAGCAATAGCATAAGACAGAATAAAAACAGTTAAAAGGAGAGCAGGAAACAATATGGGTAAACAGCATAACTAGTCACAAAATAACAAACTAGTTTGAATCAAAACCCAGACAAAATAATAAGTTTTAAGATGCAATTTAAAAGACTGGATGGACTCCGAGGACGGAATATAAGGAGGGAGGTTATTCCAGAGTCTGGGTGCTACGATAGCAAAGGCCCGATCACCTCTGGACTTCAGATGAGACCTTGGTTGCGTCAGGAGCATTTGATTGGAAGATCTATGTCCTCTATAGGAATATACAAATGGAGGAGTTCACATAGACAACTGGGAGCCAAATTGTTTAGAATTTTAAAGGTAAATTGATACAATGCAAATTGGCTAAAACTGGTGTGATCATAATTTCTAGTGTCAGTTAAGAGACGCGCAGCTGGATTTTGAACTAACTGGAGCCGGTGACTAGAAGAATATGGGAGGCCCGAGTAGAGAAAATTACAGTAGTCCAATTTGGAAGTGATAAAAGCACGAATGAGCTTTTCAAGGTCCTTCAAGGGAAGGCATGGCTTTGCTTTAGATAGCTCAAGATCACACTCAGGCCTGTTGGGACTACAGAAAATATCCGTTTACATCACTCCTATAAAAATATCTCTTTAATCTGATTTCCTGCACATTTTGGTTTGCTTATTTTAACACGACCAAATTATGGGAACGGTTTTTACTCGAGAAAATCAATATGAATTAGATTTCAGTGCTTGTGAGATTTGTTCCGTCATTTCTGCAAGGAGGAGCGAATTGTGATGCATAAAAACCCAGTTTATCATCCCAAGACTCTGTTTAATAGTCTGTCAAGCTGCTGGAACAATTTAATGTTTTTAAATTGTAGATTTTCCAGAGATGGAAATTAAGTATATGTCTGAATTTTGAAGATTTGTCAGCATTTAAGCTTGTGTAGTTCCCCATTAAAAAACAGCACAGCTGCGAGACTGAAAAGAAGAGATTGATTGGGAGTTTAGTTTTTATGATTCACATCCGTACTCACATCATATGTTTGTTTCTCTTCTTTTGCTCACTCTCATTTCTGTTGCCTCTCATGTCCACCCCATTAACCCGTTACACCTCTTCGCTCAAACGTTCAGTTTTTTGCCATTCCCTTTCCACCTCACATCCTTTGTTTACTCCCTCCATGCGCTCTCTCTTATTTCACATGTTCTCATTATTGTGATTTTCTTCAGAAGCCATAATGAAAGTGGCGAGATGGTGTTGTTGTTGTATGCAAGCGGGAAATGAAAACAGAGGCGGCAGCCAAACACGTGAATCTAGCTGTGACCATCGACTTATCCAGTGTATCCGCACCTTTTCCATTTTCACCCCAGCATGCTTCCTTTTTTTATCGTCAGTGTTTTATTTTGAGTTTCCCTCCTCGCCCCGTGTCCCCCTCCACCCTATTTTCAGCTTTTCATCTGTCTTTGTTTGTCCATCTGTCATGTACCTCTGCTGTTGTCAGTTTCCTGATGGGAGGACCTGGGTGGTCTCTCCTTTCCGACAAAGGAGGAAATGCCAGTCTGGTCAGCCAGTAAGTGAGATATAAGTTAGACAGCAGTGGCCTTGTAACAGTAGCTGTTCCCGTTGTTAGGCTATACTTGATTGCAGTGTTGAGAGGAAACAAGGTTTTTTGGATTGTTGTGATTGTTGTGATTTATCAACTGATTGTGTTGTTTTGTGATCATGTTGAAACTAAAGAACAAAACCTGTTCACAGCAGGTTAAAAAAGTGACAGGAAGCTTCTTATTTGACAGTTTCTTTTATATTCATCTTCTTTTGAGTATTTGTTTCCTCACTCACTGACAGCTTGCTTTATTTCTCTTTGCACCTGTGTAGTTAGTGTGTTTATTGCAATGTGCTGAGCTTTGTGTGTGTGTAAATATACATGTGCAAGCGTGTGAGTGTGTGACATCCACCTCCATCCCTGTTACCTGTTGCCGTGTTGCAGCGGCTTCCCTATCTTAAAGGGCTGGTACCCCGAGAATGATAATGGCGAGACTTTTTAGTGACTCTAAACAACACTGAGTTCAAACGAACAACAACAACACATAAAACAAAAGGCATGTTTGCTTGTTGGAAAAGGGGAAAAAGACATCTTGTTCCCTTGCTTTTCTTTGACGAGGATGCTTTCTGTGTCTGTGTCTGAATGTCCCGGCATCCTGGCTACCCCCCCGCTCGCCATTCCCATCTCCTTCCTTCTCGCTCCTCATACTTCCCGCTTGGATGATTTAGCAGCTCATCCCTTGCTTTGCTCCCCAGGACTTAGTCCAAATGTTACAAAACACCAAGACATGTGATTCAGGCACACATCACTGAGGTTCATCTTTATATTTACATGTTTACAGCATTTTTTTTGGTTTGTTTTTGTATAAGATATTAACATCATGTTCAATTCAGCCAGGATGAACACATCCTTCCAAACACTTTCAACGTTCACACTCTCCAGTATGTCTCAACAACATTCCTCCTTAATGCATCCCTAATTTTCATTTCCTGTCTTGTCTTTTCTCCTGTGATCTCCTGTGTCTTTCTCTCCTGCCTGCCCCTGCTGCTTGTCTCTGTGCCTCTGGCCTTTCCTCTGTCCCTCTGGCCCCCTCTGCTGTGGTGGGTGTGTAAAAACAGCCTCCAGAGGACAGGACCTGGGTGTACTCTCCGCTACACTATGGCTCAGAGTCTAAGGCCCTGCCAGATGGGGATTGGGAAAGAGAGACAGTAAGTGAGATGCATCGGACTAAAATATGAAGCACAGAAAGTTTCCCCCAGAAGTGGAATGAAATTTGTTCGGGACCATGTTTGGGTTTGTTCTTAGGGAAGGATGAGCTGTAACGCTACACTCTGCACGAAGCTGCTACAGTAAATGTAGGCAAAGCTTCTCAGGTCCCAAAGTCCATTACTATTTCAAGAGTACGCTTGGTCTGCGTCCAGAAACCCACTCCTACATTACAGCATTCATTGTTCATTGACAAACGGGTGGAAATGGTCATCGACTGCCTCTGTGATCATTTAGTCCACGACCAGCCATCCCGCGTCCCTCCAACAACAAGCTGCTCAGACTTTAACACACACATCCATCGGCTCATGTGTCACCAGAGCGCCATGGCTCATTCTGCTTAAGCCGTTTAGACTAACCTGACAAGTTGCAATTTATTGAACATCAAAACCCGGTTTCTAGTTATTCAGTCAGTCGGAGGCAATGTGATGAGTTCTTTGAGTTTAGGAGGAACGAGTTTATTTTCTGGTTTAAGTTTAAATACTACCGAATTTAACAGTTATGAAAATTAGACAAATAAGTCACTCAAACTTATGCAAATTTAAAGTCAGAATGGCGTTTAGGTCACTTTAGTTTGTGTTTGTTAACTTTACGAGGTGTTTGTGAGCCAGTCTACTTTGTTAATGTCGCTTTAATGCAAAAGCGACAATAATCTGTTTTTCCCCAACTCATTTTGTTTTTCCATCTGCTTCTCACGCTAGACCTTTCTTTACTAAGTAGCCCCCCCCAAAAAAAATGACAAAACATAAACAAATCTACTATTTAACAACAAAAAAAGGCAGAAAACAAAAATCAACAGCTCATACAACACAGAGCTCCACTTTCTTATTGTAAACGTAAGATGTCAATATAATTTGGCCAATTACACTCCATCAGTGTGACATCATCGTGTGACTAGAGTCATGTGACTGAAAATGCAGCATCATTGTCTAATGAAGAGCAGCAATGCTCGAATGACAGATTTTGACCCCATCAGCTGCATATAAAGCCTCAGTCATACCTAGAGCCTAAAGACCAGTCAGCGAATCCCTGGCAACAAGCAGTCGCTAGGGAAAATTCAGCTCAGTTCAATTCAGTTTAACAGTCTGCCAAAAATGTTTATCCCCAATCAGTTGATGAGGGGTTGCTGAAGGTTGCTAGCACTAAGTGAAATAAGGTGTTGCACTGAAAACTGTGTGATTGCGTCGATCATTAGCAGATTCCAGAAATCACCTGTAGTTTGCAGCGAAGACGCCGGCATGTGTGAAAACAGTCGCCAACTGCTCGCCGAGTGGTCGTGAAACTGCGAAAAGTCCGATGCAAGACGGAAATGGAGACTGTTTGTTGTCAAAGTTGCACATTTGGAAGCATTTTGTTTGTAGCAATATGAAGCAATTTTTAAACTGAAGGCGAACGTTCTCCGTTTCTCGTTTTTTCAAATTTCACTCGTGCTCAGCTTCACAATTTACATGCAAGTGAGCGTCTCCTATGCAAACTATGGGCAACCATGGCAATCTACTACCAACCACAGCAATCACAAGGAGGTTTTCAGTATCCTCTTCGCTGCAGATTTCACCTTCCAGCAGCCAGTCACCAACCGGTCATAATTATAATAATCCAGAAAGGTTATGTCATTGGTAAACAAACAAACTAACAAAAAAACATCGCATACAAAGTTGTACGTCAGCTGGTGAGGAACATGAGCTAAAGAGTAGAAAGTGTTCATAGTTTGATTGGGATTGTTTAGACAGTCCAGGTAAAAAAGTGTGGTTTCTAGAAGATACAAGAAATATTTACTATATGTGGGATTATTGCTGGAAAATCAGACTAATCAGACGGCCGTAGCCTGTAAAAAGTATTTTTTATTTTTTTTTATACCTGCCTTTACCTGCTGTTAAGGAACTCTGCCTGAGCTCACTGTCCTGGCTTCCTGTTTGCTTTTCATCTGTAGCTGCACTTTGATTTGATGGCTCGGTGTTTATTTATCATTTCCAAATAATTAATGAGAGTTTACAGGCTGTACACCCAGGGGGGAAATGAAACATTTTCACTCTTCTGAATGCATTAACTCAGTCTGTCTGTCTCCCACAGTAAATCCTGTTTTCTGGCAGACAGGAGTGAACGTCTCAGCGGAGAGGACTCATCAGTCTGAAGTCCAGACCTCAGTGGCAGCAGCGCGATCTCTGTCTGAACCAGGATTTAAAAACATGCATACAGAAACACACTGAGAGGGAAAAGTGACTGTACCAGAGTACCAGAGGGAGAAAAAACCCTGACAGTGATGATATCACTGGTTTGCAACCATCCCTGCCTTTCACCCTTTGACAAATGAAATTTATTACATCAGTTTAATAAATAATTGTATGTGTGACATAGTGCGCATAAGGCTGTATGTAGTCTTGTATGTTTGACACACCCAAAAGACCACGATAACCTACTTTTTGTTCTGTTTCACACTAACACAGCCCTCCAACCGACTCTTTCCCGACGAATCTCTGAAAGTCATTTTTATTCGTGATATCCTTTATGTTGCAAAGCGGTCACACATACTAGCCAGCAGACATCTCCTGGGTTCTGTGATCAAACAAAACCACAAGAAGCTCATTAAAACATTGATCCATGACACAAATACGGGTTAAAAAAATGCTAAATTGAGTGGATGCTCCTTATAGAAATTTACCTGTAAGTTTTAAAGTATTAAAGTTTTCCATTTTTAAGCAACTGTTCATCTTTTGTAGCGAGGCATTAATGAAGCTATATTAATGCTACTACTGCCTTCGGTTCTCAATAAAGAAAATGAATGGCACATCCAAAACTAGGAGCATATAAAGTAGTTTCTCCCAGTAAGGAAACCTAATTTGAAGAAAAATGAAATTAAAATCGTTAATCTCAAAATTATCTCCAGTGCAGTTACCTTAGACTGGAACATATCAGTCATCCTGTGACTGCACTGGCTGCTGTGTTTCCAACCAGTTCGAAGGAAATCTCCAGCTCAGTGGTTGTAATTGCTGCCAGTATGGTGCCCATTTCCACTATGCCGCTGCTGTTGAAGTTAATTAGCTGTGTCTGCTTTTCCATGATAATCTTACCAGAGGTCATCATCACAAAATTCAGAACAGTTTGATGCTAAAAGATTTTTGCAAAACCAAGTGTGCAAAGTACGTCTTACTAGGCAGCCACCATAGCCTAACATAACTCGGATAAATAGAGCTTTTTCTTCTTTTTTCCCCCTGAGTCAGTGGATTACTCTTCTGTATCCCGTGATGTTGGAGGGCTCTGTGCTCGCAGTACAGGAGTTGCAGTGAAAACCACTTTAAGCCAATCAAAGCAGAACATCCAGATATCTCTGTCATCCTTTAAAGTAGTGAAAATATGCAGTTTAACTTTAAAAAAGGCAAAAACATATTCATCTACAGCATTATTAAAACTTAAGTCCTGTTGTTATATTTTCATTTCTAAACTTTTCTTCAGCTGTTTTTACTACTGTGAACTTTTATTTATTTGTCTGTTTGTATTTGATTGTAATATTCACGACTGGTACTTTTCACTCATTTTTTTTTTTTTTTAAATCTATTTGCATCCAAAGACTTTTAGTTTTTGTTTTGCTCATTTTCTTCACTGCGGTATTTTGTTCTCTTTTTCATGTGTTGTCTAATTCAGTGTTGTTTTCCACTACACCACATGTTGTTCCAATATCTGAGGGTGATGACTCTTGCCTTCAAAATAGAAGGCGTCAATTACAACACTAAGGCAGCAGACATTGTCATTAGAGTAATTTTCATGTCTACACAATGTCTTCCAGTGTTGCCCTGCTTTCGGATCGACGCACAGGGATCATTTGTAACAGTAGAATCGGCATATCTTTTTCTACATCACCTCCTCACGTCAAGAAATCGGGGATTCTTTCCAATGTTTGTAGATGTAGAGCACCAGTTGTAGTGTTTGCGGTCGATATCGTAGCTGTTACCTGTATATTCCAGTGAACGCAGTGCGTGTTGGCTTGGTGAGACACAGCAGTTTGTGAATGGGTTGAACGTCGTTTGCACTCATTAAAAGGACCTGAAGACGAACTAGTGGTAGAGGCCAAATAAACACTCGTCACATTATCCAGAAGTCATATTTTCGAGTTCTTAGATAAGAGTCTCTGCTCACACATGCTGATATTTGGACAGTATTTATTTTAGGATTGTGTGTTTGTGTGTGTGTGTGTGTGCACATGTGTCTGTGACATCAATCACAGTCATTGTACATTTAGTGTTTACTGTAGTCTCTCTGTGGCTGACATCTTAAAGACTTAAAGATTTGGAGGTTTTTGGGTTTTTTAAACTAACTACAGGCAGTTTCTTCGGTTCGTTGGTACCTTTTTACGTGTGTTTGTGTGTAAGGGAGGTTACATCAATGTCAGGTGTTGTAAAATAAGAATCGGTTTGTTCTCATGACGTGCAGTGGCCAGTTGTAATCAGTTTGCTGTTGTTCATCAGATGAAGACCATAGCAGCAATATTTTGTACAGTTTAGCTTTTACGTTAATTGCCTTATTAGGAAATTTTACATATAGGTCTGTTGTTTATATTTTTTTCCACTTGTGCTGTAATATTTATTTTTCTTTCTCATAGTTGTGCTCCTGAGAATGTGTACATAAAACTATAAATACATATATAAAGATATACAAATATATTTTCCATTTGAATCGGGAAAATATTATTTTTGTTTGGTTTCATTTTTGCTGCTGGGCAAGAAATGATTGCAATCTACATGATTTTACTGTACCATATTCTTCAGTGTGTTTATTGAGATGCAGCTGCTGTATATTTATGGTTTGCAAACCACGGCTGTGTCTTTGTATGATATCCAAAACCGAAAGATTTGTGGGGTTTAATGTACATGCAGATCAATAGGGATTCTTCCAACTGTTCAGCTGTGTTGTGTGTGTTTTCAAATCCCTGTGTGCCCTCATCCAATAGGAAGAGTCCTTTACAGAGACATAGCATGATATCAAAATGAATATGCATATCAGAAATGTGTATTTATGTATATCTGTGTAAATTCATCTATTTATACATGAGGATAAATAGATGACTGTGTGTGCGTGTGTTTGGACTCAATCAGAATGAATACGAAATAAAGCAGTTCTATGAATTGTTGTCCATGGAGATGATGTGTTTTAGTTGGTTCTTTGTTGGGTGGTTTTTCTTCTTTTGGCGGCTCTGTTTGACTACATTGGATCATCTGCCTCCATGTCACCATAACCATAGCATCCACCTCTGTAACACCAACCCTCTACATGTCCTCCTTCATCCGTGAAGCTTCTCTGAGGTCTTCCTCTTTTCCTCCTGCCGGTCAGCTCCATATTCAACATCCTTCATCCAATATGTCCTCTATTGCACACGTCCGTACCATCTCAGCCTCGTCTCTCTAACTTTGTCTCCAAACACCTCAACCTGAGTTGTCCCTCTGGTCTAACTTCTAATCCTGTTCATCCTGGTCCCTCCCGATAAAATCATGACATTTTTACCATCTCCAACACGGCCTCCTGTCTTTTGTCAGTGTCACCACCTCTGTCTACCATCTTGTAAACCTTCTCTTTCACTCTAACTGCTATCCTTCTGTCACAAATAAATCCTGACACTCATCTCCACCCTGCCTGCACCCTTTTTTTCACTTCTCTGCTTTGGATTATTAACCCCAGGTATTTAAACTCAATTATCTACACTACCTCTACTCCTTGCATCTTCACTCTTACTCCCATCTCCCTTATTTACATTTATTCTGTCTTGCTTCTACTGCCTTCCATTCCTCTTTAGGGCAAACATCCACCTTTCCTGAAACTCTTCCACCTCTCTGGTGTCACTGTCATCTACGAACATCATCGTCCACAGAAACTCTTGCCTGACCTCGTCTGTCAACTTGTCCATTGCCACCACAAACAAGAGGGGCCTCAGAGCTGATCCCTGAAGTAATCCCACCCCCACGTGGAACCCATCTGTCATTCCTACAGTGCACCTCAACATGCCCTGCATTAGCTTCTCTGACAGTCCTGGCAAAATAATCATGTGACATGGAAGCGAAACTTTGAACATGGCCACTGGAGAAACTTACCACATAAACCTCTGTGTCTGACTCCACAAATCATTAGTAAGTAATAAAGTACTTCAGACTTAAGGAGTCAAAAACATTTTAATTCATGGGTCACATGCTGCCCAGTTTGACCTCCAAGTAACTTTTATCTTAACCTATTTAAAAAACATGCCAAACTTGTCACTGAAAACAATATCCTGTGAACAGTCCATTTATATAAACTGATGATGAACTGCCTCTCTTAAGAAAAACATGTCTCAGCTTTACGACTGGAAACAGTGATGATTCAAAGAAATGCACTGGCATGACTCCTTGGCTTAAACACCATATTTCTGCTTGGTAGTAAAAAGACTATGTGTAATGTCTTTGTCAGTAACAAGGCGGTAAACCGAACAATGACTCAGACCTCTGGCTCAGATAAAACAGTTGTTAGCAGCACAATGTTTCCTTTGCAATATTTACATTGTAAAAAGTCATTCACCCGGCCATGCAAATCCTTTAGTGGCTTGGTTCTGATCAGTGGACAAAGTGTTTGAGAACTCCTGCATGAGGCCACAAAACATATAGGGAAACCTGAAATGTGACCCGTCCAGCATCTAGAGTATTGTCTATGTCAGATTTATTTTTACAACTTAAAGGCATTTCACCTCTCATCCGAATGGCCTCTTCAGTTCTAAAAGCTGAATGGAAGTCTCACATTATTAATTCTGTAAGCATGGCAGGGGTTGTTGTTTTTGTAGAGTGCTATAAATATGGCCACTTGGTGGTGCCACTTCAAAGGTTTATCAGAGGAAACAACCAAAATATGTTTTAAATAACTAAAGTAAATCTAAGAAGCTGATATTTTGCTCTGGATTACAATGGACAGGCTAAGCTTTAACATCATTGAGATTGTTTTCCTAAGGTCATGAGAATGGCTGTAGGACTGCAGGAGAGGCTGTAAATTTGCACATGCAAAAGCAGAAAGCTGGAAAGCCACATGATCTCATTCGAGATAATCCCTTTAACCTCTTTAGCCCAGCCCTTTAAATATAATGTATCTGTAGAACATTATCTCTGCCACAGGCAATGACCACAGACATACAGACACACCTGAGTGTAATCTCAAATCGAGCTTTTTCTCTAATTGTAAGAACAAGAAAAATTGCATCACCAGATGCCTGTGTTGGCCCAGGCACATCCTTTCGGGTACAATTAAACCATTTCTGACCAGGGTATTATAGTAACCTACAACTATAATGATGTAAATGAAAAAGATAAAAGATAAAGATAGATAGAATATGAACATGGTATAACAATAATAGATGGTATATCCTGCTTTTCTAGCACAGTGTAGTATAGTCTTTCCGTCTTGGTGTATATTGTGCAATACTTTTTACTTCAAAAAGTGTGTGTGTGTGTGTGTGTGTGTGTGTGTGTGTG